CATTAGAAAGAAATTCTTCACAGAAAGGATGATTAGATATTGGAATGGGCTGCCCAGGGAGGTGGTGGTGTCACCATCCCTGGAGGTGTTTAAGCAAAGACTGGGTGTGGTACTTAGTGCAATGGTCTATTTGACATGGTGGTGTTTGGTCATAGGTTGGACTCAATGATCTCAGAGGTCTTTTCCAACCTAATTAATTCTGTGATTCTGTGAAACCATGGAAAATACTAATAACCTAGTTATAGCAGCAAATGGAAGGATGCTTAATAACAAAATAGTAGTGCATATGTTCATAGCATTAAACATTATCATTGTTTGCTGGAATATGGGAACACTCTCAGTTTGCTGGGAGTTTTCCGGGCATTTAGAAAGGGATGTTTGCTCCAAGGAGCTCGTTAAAAACAATGCTTTTAACTCAAACAAGAATCCTAAAGCATTTCAAAGCCACTTGTGGGCTGTCACATGTGAGGATGTGTTGAGGGTGATGTGGCTGCAAATTTCCTGGGATCTGGTTTTTTTGTGTGAGTTTGCAGCAGGCAGAAATGGGAGTTGGATGATGGGTCCCTGCCATGACTCCAGGTTGCATGGGATGAACCCAGTGGGGTGTTTTGGGGCAAAATCCATCTATTTGCTTCACTTGCCCAGATCCATGATCGTTGCCACCAAAAAAGCCTTTTGGGGGGAAAAAAAAATGTCCATCACTGTAGGAAGCATCTCTGCATCATTTTTTTCCTCCTCTCCTGCCTCTGATGCCCAAGTGATGCCACTGGCTTTTCCCACCCCTTTACCCAGTGGATGCCAGATGGGAGTGGGGAGGCTCCACTGGGATCCCAACAACCATGAAAAGTGGCTTCGGTGGCAGCTTGCAGGGAGGCCTGAGCCTGCTTATCCAAGCTCAACACATATTCTCATGGTTTTTTGACATCCAGTCAACAGCCGAAGTCCACAAACAGAAGAGGCTCTGGCATATTTATACTGTGTGCTGGTATTGTCTCCTTAAAAAAAAATATCCCACATTACCTAAGAATTGTCCTTGAGGTCTGGTCACCCCATATAATTGAAAAACCTAATGGGATTCATTCATGAACTTCCAGCTCTCCATAAAGACCTGTTCATTCATCGTCAAGGCAGTTGGTTTTCTGTGGTTTGATTTTTTGTTTGTTTTTTTAATGCTCTGTCAATTAAATAACTCTTTGCTCTGGCAATTAAATAGCTCTCTGTAAGCAGCAATGAGCTACTTGTTAAGTGGTCTTCACTAATGCAAGTACAAATATCAGGTGAAAAAGGCTTTTTTTTTCCCCTGTCACCTCCTGAAAGGGATGCTTTTATGTCCAAATAAATAAAAACCTATGGGAATTTTAGCGTGTTCAATGTCTGTTGCTCCAAAATTCCTTCAACTGCTGTAAAATGAAACCCAAGAAGCTCTGAGTATCGCTGGCAGGCAATTGTCGGGAGGAGGGCGATGGGTGGTCAAGATGGGGGTGGATGCAGGAGCATCCTCCCCCTGTATCCAGGGGCATCCCCCCCATGGACTGAGGAGCATCCCCCCAAATTCCTCTATCTCCTGGACCTTCGCCCCCAGTTCCTCTATTTCCCAGGCGGGTGATGGAAACACTATCCTAGGGGTATTTCTTGCCCCACTGGGTGCATCCTTGGGTGGGGGGCACCTCATTTGGGTTAGGGGAGAGGTAACCAAAACCACCCACCCCCATCCCCCTTCAGTCCCTCGTGTGGTGCCAGGTTTCATCAGGATATAAAGTTATTGGCAAGAAAGTCTTAGGAGGGATCGAAAAGGGGAGGTGGAAGGACAAACCAGAGTGCACCTTGATGGATGCTGTCCCAGGGACCACCTCCCCACCACCAGAATCCCCATCCCCAGTTTCACCCAGGAGTGAGGGTCCCTATTTTGGGGTGTACACAGCAAGGCCCATTTTTAGTAGCTACCTCCAGCAACTGGAGAAATATTTTCCGCACGGGCAAAGAAATGAGGACATTAAAAGTGTGTGTCTGTTTTGGTTTTTTTTCTCTTAAAAGCACAGAGTAGGGCTGGAAGCACAACTCAGAGACAGGAGAAAAATGCCTGTGCTGGAAAAATGGGCTTATTAATAGAAAAAAAATAAGAAAAGAGGGTAGCCAATGTGTTGCTGTCATTGCTCATGCTGGGGGGGATAGGTTTTGGACATCTGCAGAAAGAGCTTTGGGGTGCTGGGTCACCTACTATCCCCACTCCCATATCTGCTTCCATGGTGCAGGGCATTACTTCGGTAGTGCTCATTAACTCGCATTCCTAGCTTGATTTTGTTTTTAATTTTTTTTTAAAAATTCAGTTATAGAGATGAATAGTTCCCAGGTCTTAACATGGGTACTGTTGCCTTAGAGAATCAGGGGAGCCAAAGACTCATCAGGCAATTACTAGTAGAGATAAGGTAGAGAGCAGTTTTAATAGAAGGTCTTCAACCACAGGGTACAGAGATGCGCCCCACGTGTCCAGGGCTTCCACAATTTAAGGTGTTGTCCATCCAATCCCAGGTCTATCTGCCCCCCAGATCCTCCTAGTTCTGCCCCCAGCACGGCCCTCTGGAAATTGAGGCAGGGGGCTCTGAGACCCCCTCTTTCTCATCTTCCTCTTTGTCACAGCACGTCCAGTGCTTGGAGCTCCTCCAGAGTTCTGGGTTTTGAAGGTTACTTTGTCTGTGGGGTATCTTGTTCAAACCATGGTGCAAATGTTCTTAAACAGAATGAAGGCTTACCTTGAGGGAAGTCTAAACAAACTAAAGGAATTTAGAAAGTTTGATATGAAATGGGGTATGTGTAAGCTATAGCTACTTCTAAAATCTACAAAAAGTTAAAAATCAAAAAAATCCATAGGCATCACTACCAAGGGTGGAAGGAATTGCCCACTGAGCAGTGCTGTGGTACTAGGGATCTTTCATCGGGAAAAGGGGCCTTTCACATTTCTCAGTTTCCCCCCCCCTTTGCTTTTTCCTCCTATGGTGTACCCCTGCTGCTTGCATGGGATAGCTACGTGCAAGGAACTAAAAAAAGGTCTACAGGAATGAATTTCTGGGGTTTTTTTAGGCCATTTTTGTTAATAAGTGCAATATTTTTGGTCCCCACCATCTCTCGGTGCTTCCCAGAAGTTGGGGTGTCATCCGACATCTCCATCCTCTCTATCACCCAGGCTCTGCCTACGGGCAGGGAGAAGTCCCATGAACTCCAGTAGGTGAGTATCATGGTTTAAAAGCCCCAAAATCCAATTCCCTAGTTCTAGCCCCCCCTCCCACATCTCAACCCAGTGTGAGATGGGTTTTCCAGACACCACACAAGACTCAAAATGGGGGGAAGGGAATATAATACAATGACTGTACAAAATAAATATAATACACAATCTCAACTATCTCTACCATGACAAAACAGTATTTACAATGGATCAAATCTCTTCTTCCTCCAAATAAAAGTCCAGGAGGGAAGAAGGAAGAGATCCTTTCTACTCTCAGAGCAGCAGTCCCTAGGGCAGCAGTTTCTCTTTCTCTCTTCCATGCAGCAGCTGTAGCTGGATCTCTGCCAGTACACACGAGGGGATCTCCAAGCCCCTCGCGGCCCTTCGACGCAGGCGAAGGTCTTCTCTTCCGTGGGCTGTGTTCACCAGGACAAAGGTCACGTCACCACATCATATTGTGAAGCACAGGGGTCTTCATGACGGTCCTTATCTTCAGGGGATTCAAGCCCCTTGCAGAGCTTCTGGCTCTGATCTCAGGCTGCTAGCTTCTTTGTAGCTGCAGCGAGGGGGGGCCCAAGGTCACCCCCCACACACATTCCATCGGCCGTCCTGGTCCAGCTTTCCAGGATGCCTGAGCTTCTTAGCTCCTCTTTCAGCAGTGCTGCTGCACTTTAGGACTTCCATTCAGTAGGAGTCCACCCCCTCCATTTTAGGAGGGATCTCAAAGGAGTTTGGGGTTTTGGTTCAGTTCTTACCCAAACTCTCTCTCTCTCTGTAGAGCTTAGTCCTGCTCTGTCTCTCTCCCTTAGAGATCTCTGTGTCTTCTCTGGCTCCATGTTGTCTGTGCTGCTTGTTCTTATCTCTTCTGGCTCTCTGCCACTGCTTCTCCGTTCACTGCTGCTCTGCCGCCGCTGCTTCTGCTGTTCACAGTGGAGGGAAAAAACTACCAGCTCTCAGCTACAGAACTCGTCCCAGTTTAACACTGTTCCAAGTTCTTGTAGCCCCCCAGTTGGGGCTGGGGGGACCATAACCCCCATGGGGGTCCTGCCCCTTCCTCCTCGTGGCTCTACAACATGGCTACTTCTCCTCCAACTACAACTACAACAACTACTTTCTTTTCCGGTCTAAGTGTGATATGTTTATATTTTGCAGAAGCGCTCATTGGCTCAAACCCCAAGGGTTACCACCCCCTGGGGGTTTACCATTTTATAACTTCAGGGGGAAAACTGTTTTCCCCCACCACAGTGAATCTTTGCCCCCTCTGGTCCCATAGGGTGACCTTCAATGTGGTTTTCTCAGCAGTACCTCCTTTTTTCTCCAGTGTCTGTGTACAATAGTGATTTATGGAAATGGATCCATTGCCTGGTGGGTGAAAATAAGGACATTTAGGGTGTTTGGTCTTGGTAGATGCAGCTGGCTGGAGCATCTCATCTCTCCTATTGCTACTGAAGGTGGTCCTAGTGATGGTTTCGGTAAGGGTGACTGCACCGTGGGTGCTGCTGGCAGGTCTCAAGCCACTTTTGAAAGTGGACCTGGTGATTTAGGACCCATAACTCCAACTAGAATTAGGTGCTGAAACAGCATGGGAAATCCCCCAAATCTGTGTCGATTTCAATGGTCCTAATAACATTGCTTTTGGAAATGGTGGATGTGCCATGAGTGTTGGTGCATGTGTGGAGAGCATCATGAAAACAATGGGCATTGCATCACTTTGGGGTCATATTAACCCCTCTGGTGCTAAATTTCTCCTCTTCTTCCTTTTTTTTCTCCTGTTCTGTAGATTCCCAAGTTCTTCAGGAGCCAGGGGATTGGTCACACTGGTGTGTGGTGGCATACTGGGAAGAGAAGATGCGTGTGGGTCAGCTGTATTCTGTCCAAGAGCCCTCTCTGGATATCTTTTATGATCTACCTCAGGGGAATGGCTTCTGCCTCGGACAGCTCAACTCAGACAACAAAAGCCAACTGGTGCAGAAGATCCGCAGCAAGATTGGCTATGGCATCCAGCTCACCAAGGAAGTGGATGGCGTTTGGGTGTACAACCGCAGCAGTTACCCCATCTTCATCAAGTCGGCCACATTGGACAACCCCGACTCCAGGATGTTGCTGGTTCACAAAGTGTTTCCAGGTTTTTCCATCAAGGCTTTTGACTACGAGAAGGCATACAGCTTACAGAGACCCAACGACCATGAGTTCATGCAGCAACCATGGACCGGATTTACTGTTCAGATCAGCTTTGTGAAAGGTTGGGGCCATTGCTACACTAGACAGTTCATCAGCAGTTGCCCGTGCTGGTTGGAGGTTATTTTTAATAACTGATGACAAGACAGAGTTGACTCGTGGCATTTATGCTACTTTGCTGCTATTATTTCCTTCTGAGTGCTTGCTTTTCATGCAAACTTTTTGGTTTTGTTTTGTTTAGTTTGTGTGTGTGTGTCCCTTTGTTTTGAGAAATAGCTTATGAAAAGATTTCTTTTTTGTGCTTTGGGTATTTTGATAAATATATCTATTTTTTAAAAGTGTAAATGACCAATAACTCAGAAGGGTGAGAAAAGGATGTGGGAGGGGGTGGGTGGATGCGTGGATCGCATATGATAATTATTTCATGCCTCTGAAAGGATTATCCTATGTGATTGATGGATTCAGAAGCCACTTGCTATATGTTACAGCTCCTGTTCTTGGATAAAACAAGATACCTGTATTTTTTATGCACCACCTTCCCATCCCCAGTGATGGTGACACCAAAAACCCTTCCCCAGTGGTGCTAATCCCACATTGCTGCCGAAGGATGGTGCAAAATCTTCCCAACCTGGTCTTTACCCACTCTTTTTAATTTTTATTTTTTCTTGTTGCTGAGTTGACGTCACTGTGTTCATCCTTCCACTGCTTCTTTTATTTTTTTATGGTCATGGATTGATGCAAGGGGAGAAAACAACAGCGGAGAAACCTTGTGCATGGCCCGTGCTTTATAATTTGAGCTGAGATATAAAGTGACAGAAGCCTAAGCCTAAAGCAAAACAAAACAAAACAAAACCAACAAAACAAATTAAAAACAAATGGAAAAACAAAAGAAAAAGTGTTCACAATAGTTGGTCTGTTGTAACCTGCTTAGATCAGGTTATCCAGGTATCATCAGATCTGGAAATGCAGTTGTGCTTTCATTTCTTCCTAAATTCATACACGGGTATGATACTTTTACACTGTTCTTAGCTCAATGAGCATGTTTAGACTGTAACATAAGCTATTTTTCTAAATATAAAGGTTTAAATGAACAAGAGAGCATTCTCATTGGAACTTTAGCATTGTAGTGCTTTGGAAACACAAAACAAAAGACTACTTTAAAACTCTCTAAGAATTATTAAAGAAAAAATTGTATTTTATGTTATATATAAATATATTATTACTTGTAAATATAAAGACATTTTATAAGCATCATTATTTATGTATTGTGCAATGTGTATAAATGAGAAAAAAATAAGAAAGATGCACTTTGCTTTAATATAAATGCAACTAACAAATGCCAAATTAAAAAAAAAGAACATGAGATTGGTGGTGTTTTCTATGGGTGTTATCATCCAGATAAATGTTTTTTCTAAAGGATTTTATGTTCCATTAAAAAATAAAAATGTACACTTGATCCCAGGCTGTGCCAAATGTCTTTTTTAGAGGCAGGGATGAGGCAGGTAGGAAAGATGCTGCTCTAAGCTGGTACCACATGGGGGTTGGTGGTGGAGGCACCCACCCCAGCCCCATGTGGAACTGATTTGGTGTGGGTAGCACCCAGATAGGGTCATCCTGAGCTTTGAGCTCCATTGGGCTGGTGCAGTGCACATGGTTTTGGGATTCCCAGCTTGGTTGCACTCCATCAGCCCAATTCTGGAGGGGCTGGCTGCCCAAAATCTGCTCTGGTTAATTTTGTTATTACTCCTGTTTCTCATAATTTCAACTTGAAAGAACTCCCATGCTATGGACCCAGCTTCCATTTGACACTGTCCCATTCCCTGAAGTACTGGGGGAGGCCAAGCTTTTGCTCTGTGCTGGGACATGGATGGTTCATGCCACCAGGCGAGCAGGAAAATTTGAGAAGAGGGGAAAGCCAGTCCTCTAAGTTTTCCTCAACTATTTCCTGCCCCCTTCATCTCCCGTACCACTGGAAATAAAGGTTATTTTTCCTTTTGACCCCCTCACCCTGCCTTCAGGCATTCACTGCTCCAGATCCCACTTGTACATGGCCTCTCAGGAAGAATCAGATTCACGGAATCAACCGGTTTGGAAAAGACCTCCAAAATCATCAAGTCCAACCCTTGATCCAACACAAAGTTATTAAAAAAACAAAGCCTTGCTGGTGAGTCTTGAGGTACAGAAAGGATTCCCTTGCTTTCTAAACCCCTTCTCAGAGAGGAGTCTAGGTGCAGCTAAACCCAATCTTGGCCTTGGGTTATGTTAATGGTTTAAATTTAAGGAATTATAGAGGTATGATTGAACAATTTTTGTCCCGCAGGTTTTAATGATTGGCAAAATGAGAATCATAGAATCAGCCAGGTTGGAAAGGACCTCTGAGATCATCAAGTCCAACCCTTGATCCAACATCGCTGTGGTTACTAGACCATGGCACTAAGTGCCACATCCAGTCTCATCTTAAAAACCTCCAGGGACGGTGAATCTACCACCTCCCTAGGCAGCCCATTCCAATGTCTGATTACTCTCTCTGTGTAGAATTTCTTCCTAATATTCAATCTAAACCTCCCCTGGCACAGTTTAAGATCATGCCCTCTTGTCCTACTGCTGGTTGCCTGGGAGAAGAGACCAACCCCCACCTGGCTACAACCTCCTTTCAGGTAGTTGTAGGGAGTGATGAGATTTCCCCTGAGTCTCCTCTTCTCCAGGCTGAACAAGCCCAGCTCCCTCAGCCTCTCCTCATAGGACTTGTGCTTGAGTCCCTTCATCAGCCTCGTTGCTCTTCTCTGGACCTGCTCCAGCACCTCAATATCCTTCCTGAACTGAGGGGCCCCGAACTAGACACAGTACTCAAGGTGTGGCCTCACCAGCGCTGAGTACAGGGGAAGAATCACTTCCCTAGTCCTGCTGGCCACACTGTTCCTGATACAGGCCAGGATGCCGTTGGCCTTCTTGGCCACCTGGGCACACTGCTGGCTCATGTTCAGCTTCCTGTCACTCCAAACTCCCAGGTCCCTTTCTGCCTGGCTGCTCTCCAGCCACTCTGCCCCCAGCCTGTAGCGCTGCATGGGGTTGTTGTGGCCAAAGTGCAGGAGCTGGCACTTGGCCTTGTTGAACTTCATCCCATTGGAATCAGCCCATCTCTCCAGCAGATCAACACGCCCCCCAAACTTGGTGTCATCTGCAAATTTGATAATGGTACACTCAATCCCCTCATCCAGATCATCAATAAAGATATTAAACAGAACTGGGCCCAACACTGATCCCTGGGGGACACCACTAGTGACCAGCCACCAACTGGATGCAGCATCGTTCACCACCACTCTTTGCGCCAGGCCATCCAGCCAGTTCTTAACCCAGCAGAGAGTGCCCCTGTCCAAGTCGTGGGCTGCCAGCTTTTCCAGAAGTATGCTATGGGAGACGGTGTCAAAGGCTTTGCTGAAGTCCAGATAGTCCACATCCACAGTCTTCCCCTCATCCACCAGGCAGGTCACTTGATCATAAAAGGAGATCAGGTTGGTCAGACAGGACCTGTCCTTCCTAAACCCGTGCTGGCTGTGTCTGATCCCTTGTCCATCCTGTAGGTGCTGTGTGATTGCACTTAGGATGATCTGCTCCATAATCTTGCCTTAACCTACAGTTAAGGAGAAGGTCCTTACCTATGGAGAAGGTCCCTACGGCTGTTGTGGAGAGGGATCTTGAGTGGAAACCACCAGAGTCCTGGAGCCTAATGGATTTTGAGGAGTAGAAGGTCCAGATGGGCTTGTAAGCTCCCTCCCTGCCAAAGCACCTGGACCCCAGGAATGTGACTTCATCCTCTTCTGTCCTTCATGTGGTGAATGGCCATAGCTGTAGATTAGGCTTTGTGAGCATCTGGACCAGGTTCACTCAACACTGTGCCTTGCTGTTCAACGGAGATGTGCCCAACCCAGAGGGTTTTGTTGGGACACAGTGTTTGGTTTGCTCTGAATGGACTGTACCGTCAGCTGGATTCAGGTCATTGAGTCCATGAACCAGCTTTTTGATCATGTGTGAGGATTGCATAGGAGTTTCAATTTCGAGGCTCTTTCCCTGACCTTCAGGTAGGAGTCAGCATCAAAGACTGAGGGCATGATGGATGCACCCACCCTGTCTTGCAATATCAATATGTACTAAGAGACACCTGGAAGGGCAGATGTTGGAACAATGTCATCTACACATCTACAATGTGGCTCAGTTATTTTCTGTTCTGCACCGGCAGACTCAAAATATCCAATCACATCGCACCTGTGTGGTCCAGCAGTCAAGCTAGCATTGATGGCTTGCATCGGGGGCTCAAGGAAGAGTGCTCCTACCCTTGTCATCCACACCCACGCAGGCAACACACCATCAAAGGCTCTACAGATGAAGGATGAAGCAGACAACATCACAAAACTGACTTTTGACTCCTATGAGTTTTTGTAGTGATTATCTGCAGGATCAGAGCTGTGCAAGCAGTAGGAACATGGGGTTAGAAAGATCACTCCAAGTTTAGGAGCCACCAGGTCAATGACCACACTAGGGTTAGAGTTATCTGACAGAGAATCATTGAAATCACAGAATGATTTGAGTTGTGTCCTAGTTACAGGGGCCAGGACCAGTTTATCACTATGTGGGTATAACCAAAACTGTGTATTCTACACTCTCTATGTCATTTCTGATGGACTGTTAATAAATGAATCATTTGCAGCAGCTGCCCAGGGCACACCTGACACCTCAGGCTACAAGCTGGGTGTTAAAGAACCCTGTGAGGCAGGGGAGTGTTTCTTTGTCTTCACACCAATGACTCAGCTGTGATAACTCCCCTTTGGGGAGGCATTAGCACCTTCACACCCAGCCTCAGGGGTCATCTCTGTTAATGGGCCATACTGTACTGGCATAATAGGCAGCTGCAAATAGACCATCAAAGATTCCAAAAATATCCCATGACTCACAGAGTTAAATCACCCATTGTGAAACTCCCCACCCTGGGGGAGGTACAGGGCATTCCCACCTGAACCTGAGCATATATAATCTTTGAGTTTTAGGACTTCTGGTACCACTTGTTGGATCCAGAGGAGGACCAGAACTTCAACAGGACTGCAACTGCCACTCTCGACAAGACTGCAATCATTACTTTGACA